ACTTGGATAAAGACGAGAAAAAGAATTATAAAGCAATATTCTAGATAAATAGAAAACTAGSAATTTAAATGCTAAATTATTAGTATAAATACGAGCCAATAATGATAGGGTCAAGTGGTCTGCAGTGAAGAGAGGATGAAATTAAAAGCATTAAAAATGTACCTTTTCAATAGTATTGAGCTAAATTTTCTTATGATGATAAGCATTTTTGGTCCTATTGAAATTCGAATTGTGTTGAGAAGATTTTTTAGATGGATGGGTCGTGCACATGGACTAAAAATCTGTGAAGTCAAAATCTCTACTGAAAAGAGAGTATGTTGTTGAATAGTACATTAGTTAGATTAGTTTTTCGAGTCCATGATAGCTCATTGGTTAATGTTCATGAAATTTAGTATGTCATATGTGTTCGAGTGAAGATGCTTGACCTAGAAATCAGACGCATGTGAGAAAACTTATACCATCCAAGTGCTGTTTTGTTTGTTTGTATGGTGGATATTTAGCTTTTATCCAATTATATGACAACCTGATAACAAAAGTCAGCTTAAAAATTGTCCTAAGATTGTGGGACCACCATTCTTAATGCAAGAAGAGATTGAAAAGAGAAGGGCAAGGAGATGAAGGAAATAAGAGAGGGGTAATTGTGGAAGAGAGGAATTAGGTTCATATATTATGAAATTGTTTTGGAGGACAGTTAAGAAACAGCTATTTGTTTCCCTACGAGGCTTTGTGGTCCACTTGTTTATATGTTAGTGAATCATGCAAGAATTCATGAGGAGTTTTCTGTTGAATCTTTACGGAGGGAAGTTTTATCCTCTCTAAAATATCTATATAAATTACATAGATTTACTAGATTTAAATCTTATTTTGCAGTTCATTCCATTTTACTCGACTCAAATTACCTTCAATTAGTCTAATGTTGCTTTAATACAATGCTTACATCGATATGTTAATATATAGTTTATGACATCATGACATATTTGTTAAATAATTGATGATAAAACGAAGCCGATAGCTAAAATAGAGAATTTGAAAGTTTAAGGACTATATAATTAATTTGAAAGTTAAATGATAAAATGAGATTTAAATTAATTTTTTTAATTTAATTTCTTTTATAACGGACTGGAAAAATTATAAAATTCAACAATAAAAAAAAAATCTTATTTGGTGAAAATGAATAAAAAAATTGGAATTAAGATGGGAAAAAGAGAGGGGAAAAAAAAAAGAAAAAAAACGGAGATTCATATTCATTAATAATTTTTTGTCTTTTGGGACACAAAGACAGCAAAATATAAAGTGGCATGAAAGGTTTACTCACAATTGGTGAGGAAGTTATTAATATATTAATGGTATTTCACCAATAAAAATGGGCACTTCTAATTTATACAAAATCAATAAATAAAGGTTTATTTATTCATACAAAATTGGCAAGTTGTATTGTATGTGGTAGCAGTTGGCTGCAGCCATGTCTGTGAAAGGGACCATCTCCTTTTCATGATATTGCCTTTCTCACCATTGGGGTCCCAAAAGAGTTGTTTGGCTGTTCTTCTCAACTAATTATTTTTCTTTTTCATAAAAAATTTCACCGGTTTGATAATTATTTTATTTTTTATTTTTTATTTTTCAAAAAAAAAAATCTTCCAAACTATGTTTGTTTGTCTTTTTACAAAATCTAAATAAAAATTTTAAAACTAAAAAAGCTAGGTCATTTGATAATCATTCCTAAAAACATATTTAAAATTTTGGTCAAATTTTAAAAAATAAAAACTATTTTTTTAAAACTACTTTTTTTTTTCCAAAATTTGGGATATATTTTGAAATTGTTTATGAAAACTTAAGTAACAAAAATAAGGAACACATAGATGATGAAAGTAATAACGTTTCTAAATTTATATTTTAAAAACATAAAACAAAAAATTAATAAATAGTTATAAATGGGACATTAGTTTTTAAAAACTTATTTTTATTTTTGAAAATTGATTGAAGAATTAAAATGTGTGTAAGAATCATAAAAAAAATATACTAACAATTTGAGAGGAAGTGACATAATTTTTTAAAACAGTAAATTAAAAACGAAATCGTGTTATCGGACAAATCCTCATTTCTCAATTTCATTGACTTTATACTTGAATATAGTGAAATTAATATTCGCTGGTACTTAAATTTAAAGATTGCTCGTGAATCAGCAAAACTGTGAAAAATACTTTAATTTCTTAGCTGCAAAATCAAGCAAATTAAAAGTGCATAAAACTTAGTTTAAAAATATCAAAATTTAGTTCTAAAATAGTACGTCAAAATAATCTTGTTTCGGCATAATTATGCTAGTAATTAACCACAACTCTAATTTAACTAATTAAGTATTAATTTCACTATTTACTTAAGTTTATCTTTTTATTTGTTGCAATTAAAAATTGAAGGTTTAAATTGACTATGAAACCAAAGAACCGTGGTAAGAATGATTATTTTCCCAATAATTTCTTGTTTTTGTTACACAACATTTATTCAAAAACTTTTTAAAATGCAACTTATAAGAATAATGATTATTATGCACTTAAACTTCTTTTTCATAACCTGCAATTTACGAATTAATGGTACGTTTCTTTTTTTTTTCCCTTAATATCTTTAAAATATTTTTATGAGATTCCAATTTTTTATCATTAGAAATTATGTTGTTAGGACCAATATTTATTTTTGAGTTTATAAATTCTTTTTTCTGTGTCTTTTAGTTATTTTTTCAATTTTTTTAGTATTGTGTTTGTTCTATTAGTCAGATCTTTCCTTTTTTTTCCCTCTCAATGAAAAATATGTCCAAATTGAATTGGAATGGATGAGCCGTGGATCATTCGATTACTTATTATCGATTTTTTTTCCTTTTTTAACTTCAGTGAACTCGTATATTTTTTTCGATTCAAATACTCAAATTGAGTTTCTTTGTGAAAGTTCTTTTATTATTTGTTTTATAAACAATATGTTTTAACGACCCATTTTTTTTTTGTTTCTTTTGAGATATTTACAAAACATATCTATGAGTTCTAATATCAACCTCCACAAATTATATTTAGAGAAAAAAAGAATTCTTATCTATAAATTTTTTTTAGATGGCAATAACTTCAATTTACTTCAAAAAGATGGATTATTTATTTACAAAGATAAAAGTATGAGAAATTAACATAGTTTTACTAAAATCTTATTTTAAAGAACAAAAGAAAAACTAATTTCAAAATAATCAAAATAGTTCACTAGCTCATTTTCCTCTTACAATATTTATTTCCCTTTGGGGTATTATTATAGGAAGGCTGCTTATTTCATGCCACCATAATATCCTCTCTCTATCTCTCTCTCAATACAAGTAGAAGAGTAACTCCTTTCACTTTCCAATTTATTTTTGGCATATAAATAATAAATGGAATTCAAATTTATAGCAACTCTCTAGGTGTCTAGACTAATAACATTCTTATTACAATTTCCATTATGAATTTGAAGAAATAAATAAGGGTCCACTTCTTAATTCCTTTGCTTTTATTTTTTCTTACCAATAAAAACTAAAACTAAAATGATAAAATTACAAATTTGGTCTCCCTTGGAGCTTAATTTCAATTTGTCGACCATGGTTTTAAAATACTCAATTTAGCTATTTTACYAATAATCTTTCTTGTTACGTCTATATTGATTACGTGTGACATGTTTTCTATTCACTTGGAAACGAGCTGACGTTTTTTTATTATTATTAAAATGGCTGCATTAGTTGACTTGTATTATAGTTTAAGATTGAGTGAGAAATACGAGAGAAAAAGTAGATTTTCATATGGGTAAAAAGCATTCAAAAACAATTTTTGAACGATATGGACTAAATTGAAACTTAAAAAATCATAAAAATCAAATTGAAACTCTGATTAAATGATAAGAATGATATTCAAAATTTTCAAACTACAATAAACAAATTAAGACTAACCCATGGGTAATTTAACCAACTAAAATTAACTTCAAAATATTAAATTATAAAAAAATAAGAGTTATACTCCGGCCAGTTGAGTTATACTCGTATTAGCACATGTCATAAATTCAATATTGAGAATACAATAACGTATTTATATTCCCCAACTAACTAAAATACAAAAGCATGGTACAAAAAAATTCTCAGATGATGAGGAAGGACAAAACTAGTCTGACAAACAAGGGATCCAATGGAAGGGCGACACGTGGAGGGGCGAGGTGGATTTTATGGCGACGTGGCGGCTATCCACAGTAGGATTGGAGAGTTGAAACCATGTCAATTATTATATAAATATTAAAGTATAGAATGTGAGGAGAATAAAGAGGGAGTTGTGCATTGTGTATTGTGGAAAGTCATGGAAAAGGGGGAAGTTGGGAGAGCCTTTAAGGCATGCCCATCTGGCCATCCATACACATTCATGTGCATTTCGTAAATTTAATTGGCCTACTTTCTTCAAAGAGGGCATATTACTAATGTCCCCTAAAGAAAAAGGCATGATTCTTGTGGCTTAGGATACAAGGGTCTATTTTTCCCCTTTTATCAACATAAATGAATGTCACCAAAAAAAGAAAAAAGAAAAAAAGAGACCCATCATTTATTATAATCACACCCTCAAAATTCAATGGTGTAACTTGGAAAAAGTTTCCAATACTATCGAATATGTATTTTAAGGAAGGATCAAGATATCTCAGTAGCTGAACCATGTTCACATTAACATGTTATTTCCTTTGCTCACATTAATAATATCGTACCTTAGTTTAAGATTTTATTTTTTAGTTGTGACGGGTTTTAACTAACAAAATCCAATTTTATTTAAAGAAAAAAATAGGATTAAGAGATTAGAAAGGAAAGATAGAAGAGAAGGTATGTGTGGTTTGTTTAGTTTGGTTACGGGGGGAATTGGAGATTTGTTTTAGGGGGGTGTTTCTTATCCAAATAACCCGTGATGAGCAACTGGGTACATCCGGTGAAAACAAGATACAGTCACCGGCTGAGGCTGTATCCGGTAACCCAATTTCGGGAGAGAGAATCCAATGCAATCGCAGAATCAAAATCTTCTTCTTATTCTTCTTCTTCTTCGTTACAAAATTACTTCTCTCTCCCCCAACTACCACCCCCTTATTTACTCCCTCACACGAAATTTCAATCCGTTTTTAAAATTCTCTCTCTCTCTCTCTCCTCCGATCCTTATAATGAGTGCTTATACTTCAATCTGATTGGTTGATCCTCGCGTCTCCTCGATCGCACTGGCAATGGCGGTTTCTTCCGCAGAGAAGAAGCAATGGTGGCTCTCCGACAAGCAGGTCCTTCGAATCGCATCCTTCTTCTCCGATTCGCTTTAATTTATAATTTCTGTTTCGATGTTAACAAATGATTGCGGATTGCGTTTTTGTTTGTTTGATTTGATTCTTTTGATTTCTGCAGATGGCGGTGAGGTACGTGAGGGACGCCAGGTGCCTAATCGGCAGCGGAGGAGAGAACGATGTCGTTTCCGCCTTGAATCTTCTCGACGCGGCTCTGGTTCTTTCACCGAGGTGCGAGGACGCGCTGGAGCTCAGGGCTCGGTCGCTGCTGTATCTTCGGCGGTACAAGGACGTCGCCGATATGCTTCAGGAGTACCTGCCGAGTATGAGGACGGCGACCGGCGCCGGCGACGAGTCAGGATCGGACAACTCCTCGCAGCAATTTTCGAGAGAGCAAACGAAACTGCTCTCTCCTTCTTCGTCTTCGTCTTCGTCTTCGTCTTCATCTTCGTCTTCTTCGTTCTCTGAGTTGCAGGATCGCGACTCGTCGTTCAAGTGCTTCTCCGTCGCCGACTTGAAGAAGAAGATCATGGCCGGCCTGCTCTGTACAAATTGCGACAAACAAAGTCAATGGAGGTAATTTTTCTTTACTTTTGTTTTTATTTTCTTCCTTCTTGAAATTGAAAATGATTCCTTCTAATCGTGAGCGTTTTGGCTATTTTTGGAAACATTTTTTCTTATAGTTTAAAAGTATTTAAATATGCCAAGAGCGAAGACACTTACTCTTAGTTAAATATTTAAATATACTAATTGCAAGAAAATGAGAACTTGTAATATTCAACACAAAAATATGTTTATTAGCCAGAAACTATATTTTACTTATCATCATTAGTTCCATGATAAAGTAATATATATACAGGAAAACAGATATTTAAATTTTTGTTGGTTGTCAACTGTAAACATTGTTTCAACATTTTGTTAATATACATAAAAATTATTAACAGAAACAAAATTGAGTAAAAATTGAAAATACAAATACTATATTTAGACCCTAGTAGTATCTTGTTACTTATCCTAAAGCATTTAATGGTAGAATTCTCATAAATAAGGACTTAAGTATTTTCTAAAAAAAAAAAAAGATCTATTTTTACTTTGTGCATGTGTTGTGTCAATTTTTTTACTAATGGTTGTACGGAACCACTTAATATTATTAATATTTTTATCCCCAAAACTATAAATATATTTTTCTGGGTAAAAACAAGCACTATCTTAGACCAAAGGGGGTTATGTTAGATTAAAAACTTATTTTATTTATTATTCTTTTGACTTTTGTAATTCTTTCGGTTTTATACTTAAAAAATGTAATAAATTTTTTTTTTCTTCAAATGAACATAATATTGGTAAAATCAAGACAAAATGAATAAATACCTAATTTGACCGTCTTGTATTTTGTACACATCAAAGAGTCCATCAACATGCATTCTTTTCTCTATGTAGACTAATATTAAATGCTTTCTTTTATCAGAAAGTGTATGAACTTTTTTTTTTAACTCAAACACATAATTTTTACATTTTAAATTTAAAAAAAATATAAGAAGAGGGTAGAATAAATCTTTTCAAAAAATACAATAACAAAAAAGAGTACAAAAGTTTTTTTTTATCTTTTTTTTTTTGAGTTCAAAAAATGAGAATTTGTTGAACTAGAATGTTACCATGTCTTGAGGATATATATATATATATATAATTTTTTTTTCTTTGAAAAGTTGAGTGATATGTTTTAAATGATTTTTTTATTATTATTATTTGGTATTGAGTTAATATTATTTGAACTATAGATGGTGTAAGAGTTTACATTGATCTTTTATGAAGTTTTGTTAACTTTTAATGTAGTTAATTAGCCATTGAACTTGTTTCGGAAAAAAAAAATTAGCTATTGAACTTTTAATTGTRTCTAACAAGTCTCTAATCTATTAGAAATTTTAAACTATGTGCAATTTTAAAGTTTAGAAACTTATTAGATACCATCTAAAAATTAAATATATATACTATTGCTATTTTGATGCTAAGGAGTAAAAAATTTAAAAACAAGTTGTACATGTTTGTTACATGGAGTTAACTCAGTTTCACTCGCTTGGGTTTCCACAGATACATAGTATTG